GTGGGACTTGGAGGAGGCGAGAGGAAAAGGACAGCAGTCATGTGATTCCCTTCTTTCTCATTTTCCTTTCATTTCTTACTCTACTTCTACCCTCCTTAATCTTTCTTTCCAAAGTCTCAGTGCTGTTCCATCTGCCTGAAATACCCATCCCTATGGTTCACCAGCCTCAGGCTCTCTCTCATCTCTTGAGTATCAATCAGCCCCTTCAGCAAGAGTCTCTGAAAGCAAGGCTGGGTTATCTCAGTGGTTAGCAAGGGATAATTTACATTGGCTTCTTCCTTTAGGATTTTAAAATCTTCAGTGACAAAGACTGTGTCTTCTTCAATGTTATTATCCTGCTCACAGTACAATGCCTTAAGCAGAAAGGATAAATAAATAAAGATGAAGCTGATGCAATAATCACCCTTAATAAGAAAATTCAGAGTCATTAAGGTCTAGAAATCTCTCAGTACCACCCCAACAAGACAGGAAATTAGGCCTATGAAGGGAAAAAACCTTCTTGTTATCACACACTACACTTGTTCTTAGATGCCTTAGAAATCTACCTTATGCATCTCTTTCCTCTACATTTATTTTACAATTACAGTTGACATACAATATTATATTAGTTTTAGGTATACAATATAGTGATTAGACATTTACATAATATTTGAAATGATGACCGGATAAGTCTGATACCATCCTGACACCATACCTAGTAATTACAATATTATTGACTATATTCCCCATGCTGTCTTTTACATCCCATGTCTATTTTGTAACTACTAATATGTACTCTTTAATCTTTTTGTCTTTTTTCACCCAGTTCCAAAACCCCCTCTCCTCTGGCAACCATCAGTCCATCCCCTATGATTCTCTGTTTTGTTTGTTTATTTTGTTTTTTAGATTCTACATAGAACATAAATTATATTTGTCTTTCTCTGTCTGATTTATTTCAGTTAGCACAATAGTCTCCAGGTTCATCAATGCTATCACAAGTGGAAATATTTCCTTACTTTTATGGATGAATAATATTCCATTGTATATATGCACCACATTTTCTTTAGCCAATTGTGTGTTGGTGGACACTTAGATTACTTCCATATCAGGACTATTGTAAATAATGCTGCAATGAACATGGAGGTGCATAGCTCTTTTCTAATTAATATTTGGGCTTTCTTCTGATAAATGCCCAGGAGTAGAATTGCTTATCAAAAGATAGTTTTATTTTTAATTTTTTGAGAACCCTCCATGTTGTTTTTTCCAGAGTTCTATATCAATTTACAATCCCACCAACAGAGCACAAGAGTTTTCCTTTCTCAACATTCTCATCAACACTTGTTTCTGTCAAGGTGATATCTCATTGTAGTCTTAATATGAATGTCTGTGATGAATAGTGATGTTGAACATCTTTTCATATGTCTATTGGCCATTAGTATGTTCTCTTGGGAGGAGTGTCTGTTCATCTCCTCTGCCAATTTTTAAATTGGATTGCTTTTTGGCCTTAAGTCATATGTGTTCCTTATATATTTTGGATTTTACCCCTTATCAGATGTATCATTGGTGAATATCTTCACCCATTCAGTAGGTTTTATTTTTATTTTGTTGATGGTATTTTTTATTTTAATGTAATCCAATTTGTTTATTTTTTCTTTTGTTTCCCTTGCCTGGAGAGACATTTCAAAAATCTACATATAGTGCTAAGAGCAATGTCAGAGAGTTTACTGCCTATGTTTTTTTCTAGGAGTTTTATAGTTTGGGGTCTTACATTGAAGTCTTTGATCCATTTTTAGTTTATTTTTTATATAGTGTAATAAAGTGATCTAGTTTCACTTTTGCATGTGTCTGTCCAGTATTCCCAACCTTGTTCCTTGAGCAGACTGTTCTTACCTTTTGCAGATTCTTGCTCACTTTGTCACAGATTAATTGACCATATGGATGTGGGTTTATTTCTAGATTCTCTATTGTGTTTCACTGGTCTATGTGTCTGTTTTTATACCAGTGTCATGTTGTTTTGATAACTATAGCCCTGTAGTATAGTTTGGTATCAGATAGCACTATACCTGCAACCTTGTTCTTATTTTTTAAGATTGCCATGGCTATTCTGGATCATTGGTGGTTCTGTGTAAATTTCAGGATTATTTGTTTTGTGAACATTGCCATTGGTATTTTTTTAGGTGATGCATTTAATCTGTAGTTTGCTTTGTGTATTATGGGCATTGGAACAATGTTAATTCTTCCTATCCATGAGCGTGGTGTGTGCTTCCACTTATTTGCATCTTCTTTAATATTTTCCAATGTCTTATAGGTTTCCATTTTTTTTTACTTATTTTTATTGTTGTTCAAGCACAGTTGTCTCCATTTCTCCCCTACCCCAGACATACCCACCTTTCTACCCTGATCCCACCCAACCCTTGGTTTTGTCCATGTGTCCTTTATAGTAGTTCCTGAAAATCCTTCTCCCCCCGTCCCCCCATTTTCCCCTCTGATCTTCCCTCTGGTTACTGTCAGTTTGTTCTTAATTTCAATGTCTCTGATTATATTTTGCTTGCTTGTTTGTTTTATTGATTAGATTCCATTACAGGTGAGATCATATGGTATTCCACCACCTGGCTTATTTCACTTAGCATAATGCTCTCCAATTCCATCCATGTTGTTTCAAAGGGTAGGAGCCCCTTCTTTCTTTCTGCAGCGTAGTATTCCCTCATGTAACAATGTCTTGTAGTTTTCTAAGTACAAGTCTTTTACTTCTTTAGCTAAATTTATTCCTAGGCATTTTATTCTTTTTCATAATATTGTAATTTCACTTTCCAATAGTTTGTTGTTAGTGTATAACAGTACAACTTATATCTGAATAAGAATTTTGTATTTTTACTGAATTCATTTAATCTGATCTTTTTTTGGTTGAATCTTTAGAGTTATCTATATATGTTAACTGCAGATAGTGACAGTTTTTCTTCTTTCTTTCTAATTTGGATGCCTTTTATTAATTTTTCTTTTTCTCTTCCTTTTGTCTGATTGCTGCAGCTAGGACTTCCAATATTATGTTGGTTAAAGAGGTGAAAGTGCACATACTTGTCTGTCCCTGAGCAAAAGAAAAAAGTTTCAGTTTTTCACCATTGAGTATGATCTTAACTATGTGCTTGTTGTAAATGATCTCTATATGTTGACGTATACTCCACCTACACACATTTTGCTCAGAATTTTTATTGTAAATGAATGTTAGATGTTGTCAAATGCTTTTACTGCATCTATTGATATGATCATATGATGTCTATGCTTCATTTTGTTTATGTGATGTAGCAGTCTAATTTCTTTGTTGATATTGTAGCCCAGGGAAAAAATCCTACTTGATCATTTTGCATGATCTTTTTAATGTTTTCCTGAATTAGATTTGTTAATATTTTATTGAGAATTTTTGCATCTCTTGATCATCAGGGATATTGGCCAATAATTTTTTTAGTGTATTTGTTTGGTTTTAGTATCAGGACTGAGTTCATAAACTTCATAAGTTCATGATTCAAACTTCATAAAATGAATAGGAGAGTCTTCCCTTCTCCTCAATTTTTTTGGGACAGTTTGAGAAAGATACATATTAATTCTTCTTTGAATGTTTGGAAAAGTTCACCTGTGAAACCATCTGGTACAAGACATTTGTTTGTTGGGAGTTGTTTTTTAATTATTGACTCAATTTAATTAGTAGTTATCAGTATGTTCGGATTTGCTAATTCTTCTTGATTCAGTCTTGGAAGATTGTATGCTTCTAGAAATGTATTCTTTTCCTCCAGATTGTTAAATTTGTTGGCATATAATTATCTACAGTATTTTCTCATAATTCTTTGCATTTCTATGGTGTCAGTTGTCACTTTCCTCTTTCATTTCCGATTTTACTTATTTGAATCCTGTCTCTTTTTTTCTTCATTCTGCCTAACGTTTTATCAGTTTTGATTACCAGTTTATTTATTTATTTATTCCTCACCTGAGGGGATGTTTATTGATTTTAGAGAGAGAGGAAGGGAGAAACATAGAGAGAGAAACATCAAAGTCAGAGAGAAACATTGGTTGTTTGCTTCCTGCAGATGCCCCTACTAGGGATCAAACTCCCAATGTACGCATGTATCCTAACCAGGGATTGAGCCCACAACCTTTTGGTATATTGGACATTACTCCAACTAACTGAGCCACCCAGCCAGAGTAATTTTGGTTACCTTTTTAAAAGAACTAGCTCTTGGTTTTATTGTTCTTTTCTATTGATTTCTTTAACTCTATTTTGTTTATTTTCACTCTGATTTTTATTATTTCCATCCTTCTATTTGCTTTGCACTTTGTTCTTCTTTCTTTAGTTCTTGTAAGTATAAGGTCAGATTGTTTATTTGAGATGTTTCTTGTTTCTTGGGGTAGGCCTGAATTGCTGTAAATATCTCCCCTTAGAAAAGTTTGAATCATTGTGTATTCATTTTCATTTTTCTTAGGGTATATTTTAACTTCTCCCTTGGTTTCATTGTAAACCTATTCATTGTTTAATACCATGTTATTTAGCTTCCATATGTTTATGGGTTTTTTCCATTTTCTTCTTGTAATTGATTTCTAGTTTTCTACCACTAAGATTTGGTAAGTTGCTTGGTATGATTTCAATCTTCTTAAATTTATGAGATTTGTTTTGTGTCCTAACATGTTGCCTATCCTAGAAAATGTTCTTTGCATACCCGAAATGAATGTATATTCTTCTGCTTGTGGGTAAAATCCTAATAATATCAATGAATTCCATCTGGTCTAATGTCTCTTTTAAGGCCACTGTTTCCTTATTGATTTTCTGTCTGAATAATCTATTAAATACTGTCAATGAGGTGTTAAAATCCTCTACTATGATTGTGTCACTGTTGATCTCTCCCTTTATGTCTGTTAATATTTGCTTTATATATTCAGGTACACATTGGGTGTGCATATGTTTACAAGACTTATATCTTCCTGCTGGATTAATTCCTTATCATTATGTAGTGTCCTCCTTTGTCTCTTACTTTTTTTTAATGGAACACTTCACAGATTTGCATGTCATCCTTGTGCATGGGCCATGCTAATCTTCTCTGTATTATTCCAACTTTAGTATATGTGCTGCCTAAGCAAGCACTCTTACTTTGTTTTAAATACTATTTTGTCTGATATAAGTATTGCTACTCTACTTTTTTGTTTGTTTGTTTCTACTTGCATGAAATATCTGTTCCATCCCTTGACCCTCAGTTTGTGTGTCTTTCAATCTAAACTGAATTTCCGATAGGCAGCATATGTCCAAGTCTTAGTTTTTCAACCATTCAATCTGTCTTTTGACTGGAGCACTTAGTCTATTTTCATTTAAAGTAATTATTGGTAGTTAAGTAGTTATTACCATTTTGTTCTTTCTTTTCTGATTGTTTTTGTAGTTCTCTGTTCCTTTCTTATTGCTCTCTTTTTATTCTTCTTGCTCTTTTCTCTTGTATGTTGATAACTTCCTATAGTGTTGGGTATGAATTGGTTTCCCTTTATTTCTTGTATATCTCTTATAAATTTTTGATTTGTGGTTACCATGTGCTTCATATAAATATGAGCAATTTTATAGCAGTCTATTGTAAGATTATTATCATTTAAGTTAAAATACATTTTAAAATCACTATCATTTTTACTTATCCCCTCTACATTTATAATTTTTCATTATTTTATGTGTGTGTGTTTTTGTGCATCCATTAATTTATTGTTGCAATTATGCATGATCTTTTTTATCTTGTGACCCTTCTACTTGCATTTTAATAGGCTGATACACTGCTTCTACTAAGTGTTTGTCTTTGTCACTAAGAACTTTTTTGTCTTCTATTATTTTTTACTTACATGAGTTTTTTTTTTAATCTCTTCTACTTAAAAGAGTCCCTTCAACATTTCTTTTTTTGTAATACTGGTTTAGTGGTGAACTCCTTTAGCTTTTTCTTGTCTGGGAAACTTTTCACCTTTGCTTCTATTCAAAGTAAAATTTGGTGGATAAAGCAGTCTTGGTGAAGACTTTTCCATTCATCATCTTTATTGCATCTCATTTCCTTCAGTTCTGCAAAGTTTCTGTTGAAAAACCAGCTGTCAGTCTTATGGGAACTGCCTCATGTGTAACTACCTGCTTTTCTATTGTTGCTTTTAAGATCCTATCTTTGTCTTTAACCTTTTAAATTTTAATTATGTTGTGTCTCAGTGAAGGCTTCTTTGGGTTCATCTTGTTTGGGACTTTGCATTTCCTTGGCTTGTATGTTTTTTTCCATCACCAGGTTAGGGAAGTTTTTCATTACTTTTTAAAACTGGTTTTTAGTCTCTTTCTCTGTTCTCCTTCTGGGACATCTATAGTGCACATGTTGGTATGTCTGATATGGTCCCAGAGGTTCCTTAAACTATCCTCATTTTTTAAAAAAATCTTTTTTTTTTATTTTTCCTGTTCTGATTGTGTTTTTGTCACTTTGTCTTCCAGATCACTGATTCAATCTTCTGCTTTAACTAATCTGCTCTTGATTCTCTATAGGGTATTCTTAATTTCTATTATTGTATTCTTCAATTCTGACTGGTTCTTTTTTTTATCCTCACCTGAGGACTTTTTTTTCATTGATTATTTTAGAAAGAGAGAAAGGATGGAGAGAAAGGGAGAGAAACATCGATGTGAGAGAGAAATATCAATCAGTTGCCTCTTATATGCACCCCAACTAGGGACCTAACCAGGCATGTGCCCTGACTGGGAATCAAATCTGTGACCTTTCAGTTTATGGTGTGATGTTCCAACCAACTATATCACACCAATCAGAGTTGACTGATTTTTTAAAAAAATTTATTTACCTTTTTATATTATCTATCTCTTTGTTGAAGTTCTTGCTAAGATCATCTATTCTTCCTCTAAATTTATTAAGCATCGTAATGACCAGTGCTTTGAACTCTGTATCAGGTAGATTACTTGTCTCCATTTTGTTTAGTTCTTTTTCTATGATTTTGTCCTGTTGTCTTATTTGGGACTTTTTTTCTTCTTGGTCTCCTCATTTAGGCTGCCTCCTTATATTTGTTTCTATGTACTAGAGAAATCTTCTGGTCTTTAATAGAGTTGCCTTATGTGGAAGGTGTCCTGTGGGGCTTATTAGGGCAATCTCCTCGGTCACCTGAGTTGGGTCTTCAACAGGGGTCCCCTTGAGGATTGTGTGGATTGTGTGTCCCCTTCTGTTGTAGTTGGGTCTTGAGAGTTTTTGTCAATGTGTGTGACAGACCCTCAGGTTGACTGGCTATTAGGGCTGGCTGTGACTGCAAAAGATGGGCTTTTGTGAAAGGGTTGACCCCTCAGAGATCCTGGTGCCAGCTCAGTCCACTTTTTGCATACTGTTTGTGGAGCTGTTAGAGTAGGGCTCTGGTGTAGTCCAAAGATGGCCACTGGGTTTATGAGGTTTGGAGTCTCATGGGAGTGGCTCCCATGCTGGCCAGGGTCAGTCACTGTTTGTGTTGGTCTTGGGGCTGCCTGGTAAGATCTACTAAGTGATCTGTCAGATTGCTGGGCTTGGGGTCACTTTGAGGGAGCTATCATGCACAATTAGCCTAGCCACTGCTTGTGTGGATTTGTGTATCTTTGAGAAAGTCTGCAGCTCAAGTCTAGGGTAGTCAAAACTTGTTTGAGGTTTACTGTCCCTTGAGTGAGTCTGTAGCATGAGCTGAGGCAGGTTGCTCATATTAAGGAGCCACTGGAAGATGCTGGACCAGGCAGTTCATTGGGTGGGGCATGGTCTCAGGGAACCACTAGGGTGGACTTAATGTTGTTAGCTAGGTTAATGGAGAGCTCAGATTTCATGTCCACCTGTGCTGGGCTGACTTGGAGAGCTCAACAATGGAACAATGGCTCCTGCTTGTACTTCTAACCCTGGAGAGAGTTACCCAGACCCCTGCCCCTCCAGCCCTCACACAAAAGTTAGTCAGTTTAGTTCCTGTATTTTTTATGTTCCTGCCCAACATTGACCTTTGAGAGAGTGAGTTTGTATCCTTTAAGAGTAGTACCTGGGTCTCCCAATTTTTTTTTTTGTTTTTCTCAGACACAATCCCCACTGGTTTTCACAGCCAGAAGTTATGGGACTCCCCTTCCCACACTGGTGCCCCATTTTGGGACTGTCATCCCTCACTCCTCAGGGGGAACCTCTGAAGCTGATATATCCCTCCTGTTTCTTAATTGCCACACCATGAATGTGGGACCTGCCACTTCTATTTCCCCTCCTTCCTACCAGTCTCAATGTGCCTTCTTCTTACATCCTTAGTTATAGGACTTCTGTTTGCTAGTCTTCTGGTGGTTCTCAGTGATAGTTGTTCTAAAATTTAGTTGTAATTTTGAAGTAGTTTTGGGAGAATGTGAGGACAGAATTTATCTACTCTGCTGTTTTGATTGGAGACCCTATTGAACACTTATAATTTTACATAAATTATACTATTAACCTCAGTCCTATTTTATAGATGTATAAATTGAGTCTTCCAGTGAGAAATAAGTTGCCTGAATAATAAATAAGAAGAGACCAATCCCTATCAATCTGAGATTAAACCTAGGCAGGCACCATCCAATAGAACTTTTTGCAGTGATGAAAAGATTCTATATCTGTGCTGTTCACTACCATAGTCATTAGCCATATATGGCTACTGAGCTGTTGAAATATGGCTAGTGGAACTGAGAAAACTAATTTTTAATTTTATTTAATATAATAATTTATATTTAATTAAAAGTTTTATTATTGATTTTAGAGAGAGGGAGGAAAGGAGGTGAGAGAGAGAGAAAGAGAAACATTGATTTGTCATTCCACTAATTAATGCATTCATTGGTTGATTCTTATATGTGATCTGACCAGGAATTGAACATGCAACCCTGGCATATCAGACAATGCCTTAAACAGCTGAGCTATACAGCCAGAGCTAACTTATATTTAATTTTGAATAGCCACCCATGGCTAGTGGCAACCATATTAACTAGCACAGGTCTAAGCTATCTAACTAGTGTACAAAAACTTTGTACCACCATACTATTTTCTTAATTGTGTTCCTTTCATAGTGGTTACTGAGACAAGGATTGTGGATACAAATAGCTTATTTAAGGGGTGATTCTAGGCAGCCAGTGAGGGAGTGGGGAACTGAGATAAGAATGGAGGGAAACTAATAAAGGCTGCATTAGTTGGCTAGAGGTAATTGAAATTAATTTTTAGGGGGTACTCTGACAGTCTGTTGTAGAAGATACATCATAATCATCCCATTGTGGGGTGAGGAAGTGGTCATATTTATCCAACAACTCCTTGGCCTCATTGGTTGAGGGCTGCTCCTGGGGCATCAACACATCATCTGTACCCTCAGACTTAAAACCTGCCTCTTCTGTGGGACAGTCACATACATCCCTGTGGCTAGATAAAGCCTTAGGACATTGAGACACAGGTGCAAGAAGGATGGACTGCCCTGCAAAGCTGCAGGTGACTTCCAGGGAGATCAAGGGGATATGAGGTGATGTAAAAATATATTAAATCTCACTTTAAACTTACAGATTAGCTCATATTAGTATTTCACCTGGAGTGGGATGAAGGGCACTTGAGGTTGGTAAGAAAGGTTCTGCTACTTAAAAAAGAAAAAGTTCCTTAATTATAGTTGTAAATTGTGCTCTGGTCTGCTTTCCTGACCACATCAGTTAGTGAATTTTGTTCTGATCAGTATCGTTTCTAGCTCAGCATGGATGGTCTAAATATCCCTGCAATCTTAGCCCCTCAACAGGGCTGAAAAATAGCTGACCCTAGAATTTCAGTGGAGACATAAAGAGACACAAACATTCCAGAAAGTGTTTGTTTGGCTTTTATTTGCAGCAAGAAAACCAGGGAGAATCTACATGTGTTTTTTTTAATAAAAATATATTTTACAGCAGAAGTTGAAAGAAGTGGTGCAAATAAAAATTTCTCCTCCTCTGATATCAAACTTTGTTGAGCTCCCAGGAAAGCAAACGTATAATTATGGTGAAGTCAGTTGACTGAAAGCCAAGTAAAAAAGAAGATGAGCTTTAGAAGGAAAAACACTCGATTCTGAAAAAAAAAAAAAAAGCAGCATTAAAGATCCTAGCCATTTGATCCATATTAGCTT